GTTGAAATATTTTTAAATGGTCAAATGCTACTCCCCTTCAGATTCCTAAAGAAGATATGTTTAAATTTCACTTTGAGTTACTGTCCCAGGACACTTAAAGGCTTTGAGAAAATTACCTTTTAAAAGTTATAAAACTTGAACTTGTTTAAATACATTACATTTATATTATCTGGAATATAATAAAGTGCCTGGAAATCTTATACATTCACACAAGAGGGAGCCCTAACACACTTTAGATGGTAAAAGAATTGATTTTATATATGTATAATAAAAGCAGTAATTATGTCTTTATACAAGAGTGTTGGTGTATCAACTGCCTTAAACTTTGCTTCTTGTAATGAAAAGTTCCAAACCAAAGAAATGACTTTTTAAAGTCCAGTTTTCCAGGTAGAGTCTCATAATGCTCATTTAGTTGGTCTGAGAAGACCTAATTCTAACTTACTTCCAGGTATTATTGGCTCTGGGGCCCTGCTTTGAGAGGTGTTGCGCTGTTGAGTTTTAGCTGGAGATGATTTTGCTTCCTACAGGACATTTGACAATATAAAGAGACATTCTGGAGTATAACAACTGTTGGGAATGATATCTGATAGGTAGAGGTCAACTAAAATTCCTTCAGTGACAGGTTGGTTCAGGCCTCAACAAAGAATTAAGCAGTCTATGATATCAGTAGTGATAAAAGAAATGATGTGTTTTTGCTGACACGAATGTCCAATCCATGTTGTTGGTTTAAGTGCCCTTAATTATTTTATTATCACTTTTATTTTATTTTGAGTTAACATATATTTAAAATATTATTTATTTCCACACATGCACATATTACACTTTGAAGATATTCAAATTCTATATCATATTCCCTTTATTCTCTTCCATTCTCCCCACTTTTTTAAACAGTGATGGATTTCACTATGCTGAATACAAATATAATCTATAGATACTTGAATTTCTGAGTTTGGCTTAATATGCTCAAAATAATGATCTCCAGATTTACCCATTTTCCTGAAGATAGTATTTATATTCCATGGTGTGTGTGTGTGTGTGTGTGTGTGTGTGTGTATTTGTGTGTGTGTTTCTACTATGAAGATTATTGCAATACACTTTAGTAAGCAAGCATCTTATGTGTCAATTTACTTTCTTGTGTACTGATTTAATTTCCTTTAGATAAATGCCCAAGAGTGGTAGATAAGATTCACAATACATCAATTTTTAGTTTTTGGAAGAGCCTCCATTCTGAGTTCCACCCACAGTGTATTAGGATTCCATTCTCATGCATCCCCATTAACATTTGATTTTGCTTATTTTCTTGAGGAACGCCACTCTGGTTGGTGTGAAATGGAATACTGGTGTAGATTTGACTTGTATTTATTTTAGAGATGCCCTTTATTCTAAGATCCATGGTCACAGAGATCAACTCTGTCAGTTGATCTAATGACAGAAGGAAAAGAGACAGAAGAGATCCAAACAATAACTCTTAAAACTTCTGCTCAGGAATAGTCATGACATGTTACTGTGCATATTTTATTTATTAGATCAGTACAGGAGGAAGAATGATCATCTTACAAGAATGATCCCCAAAAGACTTAGGCTACATTTAATCAAACTAGTGCGGTGGAGCCTGTAGAGAAAAATCTACATGCATTTTGAAGACATGCTAACCTAAACAGCATTACAATGGCATTTTTTTGTAGATTTCTTAGTCAAAAATAACTGTTAGTAACATGTATTTGCAGTAGTTTTTCCCCCTGGAACTACATTAGAACAAGTTTACTGTGAACAAGGATAGAAAATCCACTTTTAGCTCCTCCAAAGACATCTATGCCTGCTTGTTTGGATCATAAATTTATTTATACATAAGTATATTTATATTTATTTGGATTCAAACATACAAATATAGGGAAGAAGCTTGGATGCAAAATAAGTAAACATATCCAATCAATAGCAAAAGTGCAAATCACTATAATTCTGCCAAGACCTAAAAGTACAGGTACTATAATGTTCTAGAAAGTATGCTTTTCAACTCTTAAGTAAACATAATTATGATGTAGTATTTAAATTTTAAAAATCTAAACTGATTTGAAATACCTGAACTTGATCTTTATAAACATTCAGGGAAAAGGTAGCTTACTGATCATTTGCAAAGGTCTTCAATGCTAGATATTTCCAATATTTAGTACAAATTCTACTAAGTCAGAAAACTACATGTAACTATGAGCTTATCATGTGGTTAAACCTAAACTCTTATTTCTAAAATGATTTCCTGAATTCTCAGGTATTTTTAAAAATATTAAATATTTTAATGCCATCTTTTTAAAGATGGCATGCCAGTTTTGCCAATAGCAAGACAAATCTAGTATCTCTCAACATTTTCCATTTGAATATAAATTTTAATTAAAGGTTGGAAGGTACATTAAACATATGTTAAACTTCGCAGTAAATAAATCATCAGCCAGACAGCCTTATACAAAAGAAAAAAAAGGATAAGACTAAGTGTGAATCTATGTAGTAAACAAAATCTAAAAACTTTCTTTTTTAAAAAAAGAAAACTTTCTTGAATGATATCAGTAGAATGAGAATTTAGGCTCATCTTACATTTGGCAATATCTCTTGGCAATGGAAAGAGATGGCAGAGGGCAGGTTCTTTTTGTCAATGTATGAGAGAATAAAACATAAGCCAAAGTAGTAAAAATCCACATCATAAACTTGAGCCAGCCTATAACACCAAGTTTTGTCAGGAATTTTATAGGATGAAGTAGAAGCAATAAGCTCATTTACTCACTGCTATAAATTATACATGGCATAATAATAATTATTAAAGCAGCCACCACCATTAGATCAGGTTAACGTCAAGTTTTCTCTAAAACAACATGGCAAAGAAAAAGAATTACATATTGTGTACTTAGATTTTTGAAAGATATTCTTTCACACAAAAATCTCCAAACTGGAAGGACACCAGTGGCTCATGTCTATAATCCTAGCTACTCAGGAGGCTAAGATCTGAGGATCACAGTTTGAAGCCAGCCTATGCAGGAAAATCTGTGAGACTCTTATATCCAATAAACTAGTCTGTCAAAGTCAGAAGTGGCACTGTGGCTCAAGTGGTAGAGTGCTAGCCTTGAGCAGGGAGAGGCTCAGGGACAGAGCCCAGAACCTGAGTTCAAGCCCCAGGAACAACCCCACCCCCCTAAAAAAAATCTCCAAATTGAAAAACGTCATATCACTTATTTCTGATCTTTTGATATTTTAATGTAATTACACCTTTAATATCACTAACACTTAATGACTGACAATGTTTTTATATCTTTAATCAGCCATAGCTTGATAAAAATTTTAATGGCTTAGCTTTCCACTTAAGTTAGTGAATTTAGCAAACCTATATTGCCATGCAAACCAAGTTTGCTCCTTAACATACTGGAAAATCTTCATATCTTTGCAACTTGTGGATAATGATAAATAGGCAAATGTTTCATATTTTTAAAAAATTATAGAATGGGACTAACATATCTAAATTTTTTAGGAATTAGGGGAAGGGTAGTTTCAGACATGACTTGTTCAGGTACTCAGATATTTCCTACAATGACCTTAGGTTCATTCTCCACTGCTTTTAGGTTGTTTTCATTTGTTTTACTTGGGGGCTAAAGTAACTACAAGCAATGCCAGCTTTCTTAGATAGCTTTAGGTCAAGTGGAGGAAGAAAACATCTCTTTTAGAAGAGTCTGAGGAAAAGTTCTGAGATGGAATGTCATTTTCCATAATTGATTTAGGTTGAACTAGGTGTCCCTTCCTGAAATTAGCACTGTTGTCAAGACAGAGTTGCTTTGTTTTACTCTACATGAGTCCTTTTTTCTTGGTCATTTGTAAAGAAAATAATCTCTAAAGAAAATAAAGAGACTGTTTGCTATGAAATGGTAGAAAACTACAAATTGTTCAGGTAAAATTATGCCAGATAGGTTTATTATGGAGTCAAAGGTAATTAAGGAATACTTAGGTGGTAGATCTCCAATCTCACTTGATCATATTGCAAGACATTATGAATAATTTAAAAATTTTGGTAATATTCCCAGGCTTTCCCAATTCATACAGGTTTCCCAAACTCATAAAACCTGGATGTTACCCTTCCAAAAATAACTCCATCTGAGTTCTGTATCTTAAAGGCCAATTTACCTGAGTACTAAGACCAAAGTATCCCTAGTCAAAAACACCCACAGCTCATTAGCAATGTTACAAAAAATATCAATATCATTGAGACTATGGGTTGCAGAAAATCAGTGAGCTACAAAGACTTCTAGAAACTTACAAAGAATATCCAGTTTTATAAAAGCCAACTAATAAAATAATGGAAGTAATACAGGATAATGATAAAGTAATATGGGATGATTTCATAATATCCTTAATAAGTTTTTCAAGATGCACATTTGGAACCACCATGGAGAAATATTTTTAAAGCACAGAACTGAAAATGCAATACAGTTGAATTTGACATAAAAATAAAGTTCAAATATATTTGCAAGATGGTTTATTTAGCCATAGAATGTTACCAAGGTCTTCACTGATTAAATTCAAACTGAGTGACAAAAAATAACTCATAGTATCAGCTTCTGGAAGTACTACTCTTGGCTTTAGTATCACAAGGAGATTATTCCAAAAAGAATAGACTAACCGGTCTGGGGATGTGGCTTGGTGATAAGAATGCCTGCCTAGCATGCATGAAGCCCTGGGTTTGACTCCTTAGGACCACATAAACAGAAAAAGCCGGAAGTGGATACTGTGTGCTCAAGAGCAAAAGAAGCTCAGGGACAGTGCCAGGCCCTGAGTTTAAACCCCAAGACTGGCACAAACAACAACAGCAAAAACAACCAGAATAGACAGATTATTTATGAAATGTGTAGGAGCATGAAATGTGCAGAATTGTTTTGCAAAACCATAGCACAAGTATGATCTGATAAAAAGAACGACAGGGAAATTCCAAAAATCATTAGGGTTGACCCAGCAATTCAGTCACTTACCAGATATCTCCTCCAGGCACTGCTTAGCAGTCTTACTATATGATGAATCCATCTTCGTAGGACTGGTACAGGAATGAGCAGATGGTAAAGAGGTCCCTTCATTTTCTGAATGTGCTCTGAAATTAACCAAGAAGAAAGAATAAATGACAACTGTGGTCACCAGTGACTTATCGAAATAGAAATTCTCTAGCATGAGAAAAAATCCATTTATTACGACTTTTCTATCAAGGTAAGTAAGCCTTCCTTTGCCAGAGATATTCTATCTGATTGATATATCCTTTTATATGCCACAAAAATAACTTCAAACCAATTGTCTACAAAACTTAATTCATAATTTTTTCTCAACAAACTTCAGAAAGGCTGTAGGATAATCCTTATGGAGTCTCCAAAGACTGATAGAGCATTTGACTGTTTGCAGTGTCCCATGTACTAGAATCTTACATATTTCTTCTTTATCTTTTGTTTACACCAGTACCTGGGCTGATACAAACTAGGACTGCGAGTTCTCATTTTGATCATGCTATTACTCTAAAACTTGAACCACATTGCTACGTGTGGCTATTTGTTAGTTAATAAAAGGTAAGAGTCTCTCAGTTTTGTCTGGTCAGGCTGACATCAAATCAAGATTCTCAGCTCTCAGGCTCCCAACTAGCTAGGATCACAAGTATGATTCACCAGTACCTGGTCTGCCATTTATTCTTTGTACTGTGGTTATGTTTTCCAATGCACTTTATATAGCTCCTTACCTCAACAGAATATTCACACTTGACTATTTTCCTCTCCACATCATATAATGCAGTATTTGTCTTCAAGTCTCATTTCAAATGTCTGTCTATAATACTTGGAAATTTCATTGATCAGGTGAAATTCCCACTTGGAAGCAAAGTGTACTAGATCTACTTTTGAATAATTCATACACTTGTAATATCAAGATACTGTAGTTATATGATCAATGCTGTCTCTCAACTTACCACTCTTCTCCATGTTTAAAAGTTCTTCATTGTACACATCCAATGTATAGTCTTAAGCCTAACGTATCTGTTTCACTCAAGAAATGTTTGCTAAATAAGTCAATAAATTATATGTGTAGTGACAGTAAGACAGTATTATTGTCAGAGGAAACACATGGATGAAACTGCATAATGGTGCATATATTGGGTTTGAGTGTAAAACATGGGTCTTCCACTAGCTGTTGACTTGAGTGATATTGTCCAGTTACTTGGTATATCTGAACTTCAGTTTATTCTTCTTTTAAAAGGGTTCTGCAAAATAGTCATGATCTCACCTGTTATTATTACTAAAGTTCCAAAGAGGCAATCTCTTGGGGCATAAGGACTTCTGTTGAACATTAAAACAGAGAGCATATCTGATTTCCATTTTCCCCTTTCTTTTTCTTTTCCTCTTTGTCCCTTGGTTCTCAACTATTACTGTCTCCTCCATTTTTCTCAAGTACACTGTGGTATATTCTTCTACTTGGACTCATTTCTCATGACCCATTATACCTTCCTTATAAGTCTCTCAGCCCTTTCATTCAGAATAAAGAGAAAAAAGTCCTCTGAAGTTTTCGAAAGGTTTTATTAGAATACAAAGTATAAAGTGAGATTAGGTCTCCAAGATTGACTATCAGCCTGCCAAATATGTGCCAAAGGCAGTGTGCTATGGTGAGCTGGACTCATCTCTCAGAAGCTATATCACATTGAGTTGTTCACTGAGATGACTGTCTAATGCCTGATGCGAATTAGTCCTTATTAGACCAAGAGCAGAGATGTCACAAGAACCAGAATGTTACAACTTTGGTGGGGGGGGGGGGATGAGGGAGAAGGATTGGGGGGAAGGAGGTTGGAGGACTGGGGGGGTGGGGAGGCAGGATGGGAAGGGATGGGAAGGGGAAAAAAAGTAGGAGGCTACAATGCTTGATAAGAAATGCACTCATTATCTTGCCCATGTAATTGTAACTCCTCTGTACAGTATTTTCACAATAAAAAAAGAACCATAATGTGTGTGGTCATATAGATTATGTATAGAGATTCACAATATCTTGTGTAAAATTGATCTAGAACAGAATATTCAAAATACGCTTTGGGTGTAGTGATTTTGCTCTATTCAGAACATGTCTTTAAAGCATTTCTCAGGAACTGACTTATAGTTCTCTTCTTTACCATGTAAGATTTATTATTCAGTTCCCTTGGCTAAAATCACCATTCCAACTTGCCTGAAATACACTTTCAGAAATATGAATAACTTTCACATAGCTCAGTCTTGACTCAAAAGCCTTTATTTTCTTAATGTGACAGTGTATGGCTCTGGTTGATTCATTCTTCAATATCTTTTACTTTAAGTCACAAGATAATCTGATTTATGTTCAGGTTTATTGACATGTTTCTCAAGGTATTCCTTGTGTGAGTTATTTACACTAGCAAGATACAGAAGCAGACTGATCACTAGAAAAAACAGAAAAGTTACATTTCAATTCATTCTGAAAACAAGCTGGGCATCAGCCTTGGTTTGTATCCATTTAATATTGTGAATAGAAATCTCTGTGTATGTTGCAAGCTATCTATTTCTCTTCTATTTCCAAATCTCAGTTTGAGAAAGTGGAATTAGATTTTAATGCCAGTGGGAGAAATAGTCAATTCTAAGTGGTAAAAATTTAATATCCGTACGAATGATCAAAATAGTGTTATCTCTGGATAATCACAAAATGTCCTCTTTTTTGCTTACTTCATACCAATTAAATAAACCATATATGAGCTGACTTAGCAAACAAATGATAGATACTTCAGTATCAAAAATATATTTTGACAGAGTAAATACTGAAGTGTAATTACATCTCCCATATAAATTGATATTTCCATCCTACTGACTTGAAAAAGCAAACAGGAGTACCATGATGTTTCATTAAAATTTTTAAAAGCCATGGTCCTGTGCAGACTATCTCAACAAGATTAACTTAAATATTTACTGAAACTACACACACATACACACACACAGACACACACACACAGACACACACACACCGAGTATTTTAAGTACATGGCTTAAATGTTGGAAGTTTTACTATGCAAGGCCCATAGCTCTATAGAATGTTACTAAGTTGTAGGAGTTAAAGGTCTAGAGTTCACCTATGATTGGCTTACATACCATTATTCACTTTTTTACACTTTCTCGATGCCAAGTGTTCTGTCATATGACCTATGGCATATCCTTCAAGCTTCATTACAACCTTAAGGAAAAGATGCCTCAGATAAAAGAAATTGAGGCTGCTAGAGTCAAATGACTACCCTTACCTAACAATGTGACGGATTACTAACTCATGCTTGAATCAGGTTGCCTGTAAATGTTGGTCTACTAATTGTGACCCTATAGTCTTACTCTATTCACACGACTCTGGACTCTGAGTGGCTTAGTAGGTCAATAGCAGACAGGATGAAATATGACAACATCCACTCTAAATATCAGACTTTACTTACTGGCATTTAAATGAACTTGGTAATAAATCTTAGATCGTAGCAAACTTCAAAATTCCAATTTCATCAATATGGATATTTATGTAAACAGACATCTCTCTGTGTGTAGGTGTTTTCAGACACCATTAGATAACCATAATTTACTGATGGATACAAAATACAAATAAATTATTGGAAGGGATAGAACTGTGGGAGGTGGAACTTTGTTGGAGAAAGTTGGTCGCTGGGGGCTTGCCTTTGGACCTTTAGAGACACACACACACACACACACACACACATTGATTGATCCCTTTGTGTCTCTTTCTCTCTGCTTCCTGGCTGTTCTTCCACTATGACATTGTGTCTCATGTCAGTTCCAGAAACAATGGAGTAAGCTGACTATAGACTGTAACTTCTGGAACCAGGAGGCAAAATAAATGTTCATTCCTTTAAGCTGTTTTTATCTGCTATCTTGACACAACTGGATGAAATGCACTAATGAAAATGACTGTTATTGGTACAGTGAATGTGATACCAGGGAAGTATATAACATAATCTACTCATAAGGAAATACCGGACAAACTCAAATTAAGAAATATGCAATGTTTCTGCCCATGTAATTGTAACCCCTCTGTACAGTATGTTCTCAAATAAAATTAAATTAAATTAAAAAAAAAAGAAATATGCAATGTTTCAATATAACAGTGTCACGGAAGTCAGACAAAGCCTGAAAGAATGTTCCAGACTGAGGGCTATAAAAACTAAGTTATTATAGGAAACTATAAGAACTAAGTTATTACTGTTGGTATTTTGGCAACAATTAGTAAAACTTGAACAAGGTTCCTAGATTCTGTGTGCCATGAAGATAGTAGTTGTTTGCAGTAGTGTTATAAATTTGGTACAAATTTACAATTTATTCAAAAAATCTGAAAGGAAATCTCAAAGCCAAGTAACAACAAGTGGTTTATAAATATCTCTGCAGTGAGAAGGCCAAGCCAACAGCAGTACTCTACACACTAGTATTTTGTCTAAAATATTGCTGTGTGAGAGAATTTAATTTACTCCCTAGTGCATAGAGATGTATCAAACCTAGCAGAAGCAAGCTTGCAAGGTAAGCATTCAATAACTTTAGTTTGTGCTGATGACCAATTCTATCTGGTTCACATAAAACCACAATTGCAGTATAATCTATAATAGTAGCTGCAGGGCTTACAAAGCTGTGTTTAGATGATGGTTATAGGCTGGACATCTCAATCTTTGTAAACTTACAGCTCCTCCTAATCAATCTACTGGTTCAACAAATAAGCCAAACTTCAAACCTCATGCGTAAGCATTTCAAAACACTCTTTGTCTTTCAGAACATAGCATAATCGAAAGTCAGTTTTCCATGTCACACCTTTGGCCAATCTGTAATCTCAAAAAACAAAAACAAACAAACAAAACAACCTTCTTATAACCAAAATTTGTTCTGAAAATTCTTGATGCTTTTCAGTAAGCTACATCCTCTTATATCCAAAGAAGGAAGAACCTCTCAATTTGTCATTGTTTGACCTAATTTTACAAATCAAATGTGCACGTAGGGATTCACGTTATACTTAATTAATGGGCTTAGAAAAATAATGGTTTTCTCTTCATTAAGAGCATCTTGCCTTCCCTAGGGTTCAGTATTT